TCTCAATGTGCTTGACCATTGTATGTAGTTATATTGAATTCCAACAATTAGTCTTCAAGTTATGGTCCGGACAAAAAAAAGCAATGGAAAAGCAACAAAGGGCAATAACTCTGTATTACTTTAGATAGAGTTATGGTTCTTGTGCACTGCACTTCCTTTTAATGTCCTTGACAACTGTATGAAGTTGTATTGAATTCCAAACAGTAGTTTTCAAGTTATGCCCTGGACAAGGAAAAGTAACAAAGGGCAATAACTCTGTAATTAGTCAAGATGGAGTTATGGTTCTTGTGCACTGCACTTTCTCTCAATGTGCTTGACCATTGTATGAAGTTATATTGAATTCCAACCATTAGTCTTCAAGTTATGGTCCGGACAAAAAAAGCAATGGAAAAATAACAAAGGGCAATAACTCTGTAATTACTTTAGATAGAGTTATGGTTCTTGTGCACTGCACTTCCCCTTAATGTGTTTGACAATTGTATGAAGTTGTTTTGAATTCCAACCAGTAGTTTTCAAGTTATGCCCCGGACAAGGAAAAGTAACAAAGGGCAATAAATCTGTAATTAGTCAAGATAGAGTTATGGTTCTTATGCACTGCACTTCCTCTAAATGTGCTTGACCATTGTATGTAGTTATATTGAATTCCAACCATTAGTCTTCAAGTTATGCTCCGGACAAGGAAAATGCAACGGACGTCTGGACAGACCAACCGCCCGACCGACCGACCACCGGGTGACTCCTATATACCCCCCAAACTTCGTTTTTGGGTGTATAATAAGGTAGCTATTTTTATATTCAACATTTAACCCTACCATGTTAAAAAATCTTAAATGGACTTGTCCATCTTTTTCATTCTGGGAAATCAATTCATCATTTTACGGAAAACTTCAAAATATGTACTTACTGAATAGCAAACAGTGCAGACCATGATCATGATCAGACAGCATGAATGTGTATATTGATCTTGGGTTTGCACTGGTGGCATAGGATAAAGTTTGTTGCCGCCAGCAGGCTTAAGGTTAAACTGAAGACATTAAAACTATTGGAAGATTTGACTTGTTCAATATTGTGAATTATTATATACTAACAATGAACAAAAAATAAAATAAAATCAGGAATGTAATTCACAACTGAATGTAATAACACTGTTAAATAAAAACACACAAAGTTTGACTAGCAAACATTTAAATTTCCTACACACAAATTAACATAAAGTAAATTAATATTCATAACACACAAACACACAATTTACTCACATACATGTAGTATAAATGCATTGAAAAAATGACAAACCTGGTGTAAAAAAAATCTGCCCATCAAAATATAATGGTGGAAGGGGTTATCTCTTGCATCACATTTAAATCTTATAATTACATGGTTTAACATGTGTATTTCAAATCAGTTTTACTCCTTTATAGCAGTCAGCATACTAATTTATAATGTATACATTGTAACCATGCCTCATGTTCAGAGTAAACAAATTTCCAGTTTTTGCTAATGTCTTTGATGCAAAACTAATACCTAGATCTACATGAAAAAAGCATATTTACAAATATTGTATGCAATGTTACTGAAGCAACTATTTTTTACCATAATCCGAGTTAAATTTTTACCATAATCCAAGTTAACCTAAGGACAACATTATAAAGCTCCTAAATTTCTGAATTCATCAAATTCCTTCTCTATTGCTATTTAACAAATTATGCATGATTTCCTTTAAAAGAGTAACATTATTATAAGATTAATTTGCACTGATGCCTTTTCTACCATTATTTCCTTTTTATAAATACATGTATGTGTACTCAATGTCTAATGGAAGACAGGTAAACGGTATAAAAATAGGTTCTAAAGTTTATTTATTTTAATCTTTGAAATAGTTATAATAATATCAAAACTGCAACCATATTTTCAACATTTACATAAACTTGTATAATTTTGGATAAATTCATTCCATACAAAATATAATCATATATTTATCATAAAATCTCAGTATAGCTAATATATGTATGTGTTTTTTAATTTTTATTGGTGAAGTTGGCATGGCCCTGTATCACAGTAAATACAGAAATAAAGAGGATTTAGACTGTGAAATATATCATAATCTGTTATACTTCCAAAATACATACAATAATAGTAATGTTTACAAATTATCACAAATATCCAAACATGATTGCATTTCAAGGGAGACAACTTTTCCATAATATAATATAAATAAGATAACACAATCATATTGGTTTTTTTTTTCTACACATAATTTACAGTTTAATATTTTCATTTACGATTAATCACTGTATATATGTATATATTCATATATAGATTTATGATTTGCCTTTTATAAAGCCAGGTCACCTTGCATATACTGAATTGTGACAAGATTTAACACTAATAACTTCTCTACATCCATATTTTGGTATTAAACCCCGTAATGGACAGTTCTAAATTCAAAGAAGGACAGGAACGCAGCATGCATGATAAAAGGTTATAACTATATAGGTTGCTAAAACTCCCATATTTATCGCATCATGCTCAGGTATAGCATTCAATACCTTTATCACAACTCATTGCTTATAAGACAATACTGTTTGGGTATCCATTCACATAGTACAAGCTGCATATTTAATATACACACCCTCAAATCATGACAGCAATAATTGGAAGTGATGAATGACAGATTACACACTTTAGTTATAATGTCCTATAAGAGAGCAACAACTTCAAACAATGAATGGTAAATTAAAAAGAAATAAGTGTATTTATAAAACAATTATATTATTGATCTGAACATCTTTAAAGCCATTTCTTGAAAATTGAATTTCATCAATATATGTTCAGAGATGAAATCTTAATGACATTTTAACATGTGTAAAGGCAGGCCAGCAAGCAATGTAAAGACATTTTAGTATATGTTTTCTCTGACAATATTTACCAGAATCTTTAATCACAGTCTATTTTATCAGTTTTCTAAGCTAACTGAAAACAAAATGCAAAGCAAAGCAAGTGAAAGCCTAGTTATGCATGTGATAGAATTATCCAAGCTAAAATTAGTATCATCAATGGACACTGATGCTTTGACACAGCTGGAAAACTTGGCAAAACTTAGAGGAAATGTAGAATATTTTCTAACCTTGACCCTATATATTTCATACCCCAATTGGGGACAGACATAAGGTATCTTTCTTTATACACTAACACTTTATGAAGAAACACAAAAAAATATATATTTAGCCATAATGATTTGACCTTAAACTAATGGAATAAGTCATTCAATACCAAACATTGTAGAAACCAGTCAAATATGAAGGCATTATGAGAAACAGTATGCATGCAATTAAATAAAAATGAGCCGCGTCATGACAAAACCAACATAATGGGCGCGGATGCGCAGGCTGGTCTGGATCCATGCTGATCGCAAACCCATTATGTTGGTTTTGTCATGACGCGGCTCAAATGTATAATGATAGGCTATATGAAAGCTAAAGCTTAATTTGTGTTCATTAAAGATTATGTTACATAGAGGATCTTACACAAGTGACTTTTCATATTGAATTTATCAAACAAGTGATAATATATGAGGCTCTGGCAAGTATGTATGTTATCACCATGAAAAGACATACATTTCTTATTATGACATAAATGGAATAAACCTTTAAAACATGCCAATATTAACGAGTAGTTCTTGATTCCTTTAATGCTGATTAAATGTCAGCATGTGATGGAGGTTAATAAAAATACTGCCCAATCATTACAATACTTTTATTTTAGTTGTCTTTTTTACTGAACTGATTTACTTGACACTATAATCTTCAATATTGAAGGTTTGGTGCAAAACAGCTGTAACTATTAGATCAATACTTACTTAATGCAATCATGTGCCACAAAGTTTTGGTGAAATTGTTGTTATATAGAACTCTGTAGATATTGGCTATGTGATAGTACTTATGTGAATTTAGGATTAAGAGGTTAATACACGGCAGGAGAGGGCCGGAAGGTGATAATCGGCCCGCAAAGTGAATAATGGACCCGAGGGCTTTAGCCCGAGGGCCATTATTCATTCAGGGCCGATTATCACCTTCCGGCCCTACTCTGACGTGTATTAATGTCTTTAATACACTTGCTAATAGTAGCATTAAAAAAAAAAAAACAACAACAACAAAGTTCTTTCGTTTAAATTCTTGTCTACTCTTGACTTCTACTGTTCTGTACAGAGATGTTTACTGTTTGTATGTTCAAAGCAGTAGAATCTAGAAGCAAGTTTTATTTTCATTTTTTTCGGAATAAGTTTGTCGTATTATTTCTTCAAATTTCAATAGTAACAAAAATGTGTTTGTACTAAATACGCTTCAGCTCTCATAATAAAAATAAAGCGATTTGTGCTGACAACCTACTTTCACTTTTACAGTTAACTGTTTGATGACGTAAAATATGACGTCATTGTTTCAGTTTGTGCACATGCAAATGTTCTGCGGGCTGATAACTAGTTCTCGGCCCCGGGCCGCAAACTCGTAATAGGTCACGTGACACTCATAATCAGTTGAAATCATAGGCAATTTTGTTACTATATATAGTAACAAGTGTATTAATGATTTTAACAGTAGTCAATTCTATCTCAGAAAGCTTATTTTATTGACAGTGTGTTTAAATACTGAATAAAGTTATCATTCATCTTATTCACATGGTTATTACATTAGTGTAATATGTTTTTATTAAACAACTTCAATTTCACTACTGTGTTGTGATTTATGTGATAAATTATGTTAATATGTCCTGTTCATGACTGATTGATTGATTGCTTGACTGAAGGACAAACCATCAACTATGATCCCCAACTGTTTACTCTAGGAGTATTAAGATTGACTATCCATTCAAGTTTCATCAAAAAAGTCTAAAATATTTATGTGAAAAATTATCATCAAATGTTAAGCACCTTTGAACATGATGGCATAAATTTCCCTGTAAAGTGATAAAGACCTAAAGTATCATATCTCCTTGTTCTTTATCAATTCCTTATCTTTCAAGTCTTATAAATGTGTAAGTGGATGGTCTCCAAAGCTTGAAAATATCTAGAACAATATCTTATCTTGTTTACTTTGACAATCCCCCTCAAGACAAATTGAAATTAAGACAACAGATTAAAAATTTGTAGAATAGTTGGACATTATATTCTTATACCTATGTCTGTTAATAAGAAGCTACATTCCCCTTTATCCTAGGTATGACTGCTTTTATCATAAAACTGTATGGAAATACTTACACAAAATAACACATAAACATATTTTTCTTAAGATAGCAAAATAATAAATAAAACATAAAAAGTCCAGACAAAATTTCAGCAAATTACTGTCAACAAGAAACATCAACAAATAAATAATCTGTGATCAACACAACAACAATTGACAAAATTGGTGTAACCTAGAAATATTTATCTAAATATACTATCAACCCTCTTTTTAACTGTAAACGGTTCAGCCGTAGCGTGTTGTTTGCTTGGCACTTTGTGTCGTTTTCGTGGCCAAGTCGACGTATCATAGCCACCATCAATGGGTGGTTTGATCGAGTCCTGATTCACTGGAGAAGGGTCTTTCACAAATACAGTTTGCTGGTTCCCTCCAACATTTAAGTTCTGGCTATGTGAGGACTTCATTGTTTGTAGACTAGCTTCGTTCATTGATGCCGACATTCCACTATTTACAGTTTCATTTTCTTCATCATCAAAATCATCATTAAAACTCATATTTGAAAATGCTGAACTTTCAATGTCTCTGTCCGGAGGGCGTGGACTCCTTGATTGCTTACTTTTAAAGTATTTAGGTTTTTCTAATTGTAAGAACTTGTCATCATCAGAGTCCGATTCATCTTTGAATTTATGGTAATTTGGTGCAGGTTCCAGAGATTCTCGTGTTTTCACTGATTCTCGTTCACGTTTTATCACAGATCCACTTGATTCTGGGTAATGTGTTGGTTTTGGTGCTGGAACTGGGCGTGTTGGACTGGTTGTAGACCTTGATGTTACTGGAATGGTTGGGGGAGAACTTACAGGACTAGACACAGTCTGAATTCCGGGTACAGGTGACCTTTGTTCACTCATTGCTCTTCCATGGGAAATCACAGAACTAGCAGATCTAGCTTGCATAGTACTGAAGGGTATGGCACCAAAGGAGTCTGGTAAAGCTTCTGCTCTGAGATTCAAACTATCAACACTAAAACTGTTGGCAATACCATTTCGTGATTCAAAGGTCTTAGTTGAAAAGTTTGGGTCATTTGTAATGACATTACCTCTTAATTGATCAGACAATGGAGAAATATGCAAAACAGCATCAGTTGAACTTGAAGACCTTTTCATAAATGGAGCATTTCCAAATATATCATTTACATTTGCATCATCGTTATCACTACTATCATCACTTCTAGCTAACAGGCCTACTCTCATTTCTCCTCCAGACGCATGTCGTCTGTTCCGATGTCTATTTGTGTAACTTGCTTTAGAAGAATCATCTTTATTTTGTGAAGATTTTGATGAAGGCTTAGGTTTTGGTGGTAAATTTGGTTTAGAATGAGCAGATGTTTTGTAAATGTCATCTTTTGAGCTTGCTTTTGCTCCTGAATATAAACCAGAACTTGGTCTCCTTTTACGAGACATTTTCTTTTTGAATGGTGCAGCTCCGAATATATCTGTATTTTCTTGTTTCGGCACAGGAGACGTAGGTTCCGAGCTTTGAGGTGAAGCATAAATTGTCTCTGCCTCACTTGTTGTTTCTGATGCTCGTGGTGTTGGATTACCATATGCATTTTCTAGTTCATCATCATCAAGCAGAGGACGGACACCATGTTCATGTCCTATAATGGGATCAGGTTTCTCAGGGGGCGTAGAAGCAGAATCTTGTTCGGAGGTGCTGTTCTGTGGCAGAGGAATAGGTAAATGCTTTGGAGTAGGATCGTACTCCTGACTCGATGTAGAAATCATGGAAATAACATCATGATCTTTTTTTGTAACATGAGCACTAGGACGACTTCCATACTCATCATCCAATTCCCTATAATAAAACTCAGTTCCTTTTTGTTCACATATACTATCTTCATCAGCATGTGAGGAACTGGATTCCCGTCGCCGGTGACGTGGTTTAATGATATCACCAGATGGTGTTATATGTGTATTTTTAGGCAAGTTTCTTTTGTACTTTTGAAGATTTTCTTCATAATTTTTACAGCTCTTTGCAATGTCTTTTTTCATATCTAAATTAGCTTTCCCTCGTCCATTATTGTTATTCACATTCTTTGACTTATTATTTTTAGAATCACCTTTGCTTTTATCCATCAGTTTATTGTATTTATTTGAAGATTTATCATTGTTAATTTCATCTTCTTGATGATCACCATCATAATAATCTCCACTATCAACTAGTTTGTTATATTTGGAAGACATGCCAAGTGCTGCCCTCATGGAGAAGGGTTCCTGAGATTTCTGATTATCTCGTTGGGATTTACTCGAGTTATCATTACCATCCATATAGTCATCATCACTGTCAGACATATGATCTGAAATATATCAAACAACAGTTTAATTAATTATATTCCTAATTCAAAACTTGGCTTGAATCAAACAAAGCCATGTTTTGGTAAGAACTTTTAAGAAGTTCATTAAATCAAATATTTTTCTTTTTTATCTTTAGCACTTGTGTCTGTAAGTTCATTAAAGTTCCATTCTAAAAAATAAAGTCATTTAACATCAAGACAAAGGACAGTTTGTACTATGCACTGAGCTAAATAAACACCCTCAGTTATATCAACTAAGTACTGACCGTAATAAACGTCTTTTTTATCTTAAGTAAAAAATGAGCTTAATAAAACCCATCAGTCTTATTCACTATCAAAATTGTAAAGATTATATTTGTACTATGTTATAAAACCTTCACTTTATAATGTTGCTACACATATTGTCTCATCACAAAATATATCTACATGTACATGTATATAAATGTTACAGTAGTTGTTTTGCTTATGGCTTCATACTTTATACTTGAAGCAATTAAATTGGAAGTTTTAAGTCTAGATTCCAGAGTCAATATTTAAAATATATTGTATTTGTGTTGCAAAACTTAATACCAATAATATCAATTTTCTTGGACAATGATAGCCTTACTGATGGCACAAGACTGCAAACATCCTGCTTTATAGAACTTCACGGATAAGATGGCATGTGCTTAAAATAATCTACCTATATTAAGCTAGCTTCCTAGCTGGCAACAATTCTTGCCTCTAAGTGGTGGGGGCAGTTTAATGATCTCAGGATATCCAGTGAATATCATAGATATTAAGTTATTATTGGGATATCAAGTTAATCCACGATATCAAGATAATCTAAGGATATCAAGTTAATCTAGGATATGTTAATTTAAGGATATCAAGTTAAATTCAGGACATCAAGTTAATCTCGGAATACCAAGTGGTTAAGAATCAGTAACATGACAATGAAGCCAAGCAGGCAACCAAGACTTGATTAATGTGGAGGGTGATAATAGTGCGACCATGTAATGCTCATATCCCACATGTATTTCTATGTGTGTTTTATAAACTTGTTAAAGAAGTCAAACAAACAAGAAGACATATATTTCCAGTATATATTTCGTGTTTTATATACATATCACATATATTGCACTAGCTCTAGTCAATGGCAAATCAACATATCTAGAAAAGTCTAAATTCTGACATCAAATGTGTACATAAAATATAACATGCATAATAATTAAGGTGCTTTTCACTTAACAAAAATCAGTAATGCTGTCCCTAAGGCTTCACAAAAATCACAATTTTATAACAATTTCACATCATCTAATAACTGACATACTCAGGCATAATCATATAATACATGCTATTCTAGAAATTACACATAGTCAATGAATCCTTAAATAAGCAAATAGTTCGATGAACAATACTAGACACTACTAATTTTGTAATTGAAAATATCAAGAAAAACTCAACTAGAAGCTTTTAAGCAAAGGCAACATCTACTTAAGTTTTCTTTGATAATGATGTATAATGTATTTTATATTGCATTTACTTTAATGAAAAGAAAACAATTTTTTTTGAAAATCAGATAATTTAATATTTATGTTTTTTAGGCCAACAGGAAACTAGTGTATTAATCAAAACATATGCTGGCCAGTTATACATAGCAATGACATCCTTTCCTTTGCGGACTTATTCATCCATCTATAGACTGACATCAACTTAAAAATCTACACATCTCTACATATCTTGGCTTCAAATCTGTAATATGCATCTGTTTTTTTATTTGTCATAAAAACATTGTTTTATTTTTTTATTCTTTAAAAATCAGTAAAAAGCCAGATTTGGATGGTAAATGTAATTAAAATACTGCTGGTAATCAATACATCTTTACAGTGGTAGTACATTATCATAATCATCGTAAATATAACAGCATAAAGATTGCAAATTAGTATGACTGTGGTTGATACAATATTTTCATAATAATTTACATTGACATTATTGAATTATGTTTTTTTATTGGGTTTTATGTCGCACCATTACAACATAGGTCATATGGCGACTTTTCAGTTTTAATGGTGGAGGAAGACCTCAATGCCCCTCTGTGAGTTATTTCAGGCACAAACTAAATGACATTATAACTTATACATTATACCTATAGCCACTTATGAACTTATGTGGTATACAATGTTTTGACATTGCTAACTCTGACATTCCTATTACAAATAATATGTATTTTGACAACTGATTTTGTAAATGCAATGTGATTGGAGAATAAAAATGAATTAACAAGAAAAAAATCACAATGTTATAACAAGGAACAAAACATTCACACAAACAAGTAAATTCCAATAAATTAAAGGAAACAACAAAAAATGGTTTCTGATTAAAGAAAATTATTTAGCTTTAGGATCTCACTCATGTATATCATAAATAAACATCCTATCATAAAATTCTGATTATGTCAGAAAATTCTGAAAAAAATGTCAGCAAATTCTGCAAAAGTATGGATAATGCCTCAACAAATTAAAATTCAGTTTCATCACGAACAATGTCAAAAAATGTTAAATAACTACTCATGTATAAATTTCTATATATTTGGCTTTTAATTTGGCAGAAACAAAATTTATATACACTTTAAAAAATTCATTATATCACAATACCTACATGTACTTACTGTACCTACATGTACCTTAAAGCTCATCTTACTTAGATTTATACATGTATATTATTTTTTTGTTATTGACATAAAACAATATAATTGGTTTACAAGAAGAGAAGTGTCTCTTTATAAAATATGTATAACAGTGTTTAGCTTAAAGGGAGACACAGGCAAAATTTTCATTTCTTAGTTTTTGAATTTTTCATTCATTATTCTGTAAATGCCCTCAAAAAAATATATATTAGACAGTCAAAGGAACAAAACTTTTCTCCATATAAAGAATAAAATGGTGGTTTCCTAACTTGACCCGCGTGGGTTAGGTTAGAGCGCTAGCATTTCACAATAGTTGTCAAAGTGAAATCTTGAAACGTTAAAGAACATGTCAAATGAATGACTTAGGCTTGTTTCAATCATACAATATCCACAATATCTGTTATTGTAACTTCAAGGGTTTGTTCAAGTCACCAGACTTGTTTTAAAACTATTTGGTGATTCTACTGGCGTCTAAATTTTGTTCAACATATATAGATATATTTATGCTTCAAACCCAAAATATATAGAGTTTAAACAGAAATTCATGCTGAAACTTCAAGAAAAAGTCATTTTAGCGTGATTTGAGTACATAAGATCATTTTAATGTTTTTGCCATTATTTTGCCTGAATATCCCTTTAACACTCATAATGAATCTCAAAATATCTTTGACCTCAAAACAAGAAGCAAACATAAAACGTCACAATATACTATATTACTACATCTTACCATATTACACAACTGCCATGACTTAGCAACACTTGATCAACAATTATTGACAAATACTTTTTTTATATGCAGAGTCTAGTACAATTAAATTGTTACATATTTTAATTGACACATTATAGTACAAAAATAAAATCATGTCACACTTCTACCCAAATGTTCTAGTCTCTAATCTACTGTTAGTTTTACAAACTAATCAAACAAAATAAATTTACACAACAACATTCTTTTATTGTTCATAGAATGGTTTACATATTAAACAAGATAAAATATTCTAGATGAAAACAGAAACATTAAGACAATACCATCACATATCTATAATAATAATCACATGACATAATGGCTACCCTGATAAAAACAACAACTACAAAACAACCTTAATATATATACACCCAAATGTATGTCTATAAACTATGTACAACACAATTTAACAACTATCAAAAAATATATAGGGATATCTAAAACACAGAGGACCAGTCTTGAAGAATTATGCATAAAGAAATCTACATAATGTAAATTTAAAGACAAAAATATAAAGGTACATAATCCAAATATACATTATAGTGAGAAAAATCATTAAAAACAGGAAAATAATCAGTGTAAAAAGGCCACTGTGAAATATTCTGTAGTTTTTTTTTACATTGAAAACAAACAGAATAAAGAGACACACAATAGGAATACAAATTTAAGGTATGGAGCTCATAACTTTTGAATAAAATATTTGTAAAATAAACTATTTTTGTGCTTGATATTATATATCTTTTGAAACTTGTGAACAATTCGTTGGAAATTCATGCTAGAGTAATGGGCCTCGGGCAGTGACCTACAATCATTGTTGAACACATTAGTGAATTGTTTCAGCTCAATACCTTTAGTGTTTCATGATATAAAGTTGCACACAAACCTTGAACAAAAAGTGTTATGCCAACATTGTTGGTGAGAAGCATAGCCCTATTATTCCTTGTTAATAAGTAAAGGGTTAAGGAATACATATTACTTTTAACTTGTCCCAATCTCTCTCTCTCTATAATTAACTGTACACTTGTGGCAAGTATTACAAATGTCAGATATGGGGATGGGGGATACATTTAAAGGGGGTGAGGGGAAGGAATAAACTTGGGTACTAGTATATGGTATTTCAAGTTATCATGTTTAGGCCAAACAAATATGACAGAATTAGCGTGTAATTAAGTCTCATAATCTATGTATTGGTAATGTGAATATTGAGAACCTTAACATGTGCATGTACAAATATATCTAGAAATACTATAAAATAAAATAGTATTTAAGTGCCATTATACTCACATTTTTACTGTCAAGTTGAATTAGTAATATACTTCAAGAGAGAATGACTATTGTAACAATGATTGACCAATAATTGAAAATGAAACAGTTTGAACTGTCTCACAAAGCAACATAACAGATATATGCTCCTTATCATAACCTTCAAATAAGCCACATTCAAGCACTGGACAGAGTAGAGCATGAACATAATCTCACACCTCTAGGCAAGATTTAACTCAGATAACTGATTCAGTGTAGATTCTAACATAAGAAAGAGGCAATTAATACATCTTTAAAATAGAAAATTATCTTTGGCAAAGAAAATGCATGCGAATATAAATGGAAAATTTACACTTGAATTTCAAATTTAACAAGGGTGCCATAGTCACAAAATACGCCCGTTTACGAAAAAGCTTTAGATGGAGATGGGGGCATTATGGATAAGTGTTATCTAGCAAGCAAGTTTTTATTCTTTGCACTGTGTTGTTAAATGAACCTTAAAACAAATCAATAGGGAAGATATGCACAGAATGTGTGACCTTGACCTTGGTTGCAGGGACCTGAATTTTATGCACGGCACTCAGTCTCACAATGATGAACATTTGTGCCAAATTATATTGAAATCCCTCTATGCATGTAGAAGTTTTGCTCCAGACAAGTGTTTTTCTATGAGCTCTAACTGTGACCTTCACCTTTGACCTAGAGACTTGGTTTATGTGCAGGGCACTACGTCTCATGGTGGTGAACAATTCTATAAAAGTAACATTAAAATTCCTCCATGCATGTAGAAAATATGCTCCGGACAACATCTGGATATTTAATCATCTCCAGTGACCTTGACCTTGCAAATATTAACCTAAATTAAATGTGTAACACCTGTAGTCATGATAGTTACCATTTGTGCTACAATCCATCAATAAATGATGACTCAATGGTCCCTATAACCATCTTTAAATTTTTATCTGAACTTTGACCTCTAAGTGTAACCTTGACTTTGGTCGCAGGGATCTGAATTTTGCATGCGACACTCAGCCTCACAATGGTGAACATTTGTGCCAAGTTATATTGAAAACCCCCTATGAATGTAGAAGTTTTGCTCCGGACAAGCGTTTTTCAATGAGCTCTAAGTGTGACCTTGACCTTTGACCTGGAGACCTGGATCATGCATGGAGCAATACATATCATGGTGGTGAACATTTCATAAAGTATTATAAAAATTCTTCCATACATGTTATGAGATATGCTCCAGACAAAATCTGGATATTTCACCATCTTTTAGTGACCTTGACCTTGCATATATTTGACCTAAAGTACATGTGTCACAGCCGTAGTCATTATAATGACCCATTTGTGTTACAATCCCTCAATAAATGATGATTAAATCGTCCCTATACACATCTTCATATTTTTATCTTTTTTTAAACGGGCGTATAAAAAGTACATGTAATTTAATAACTAAAAAATTCTGATTTAAGATTTTATTCTAGGAAATACATTTCATTACAATTCTTAATCTTTGAATGAGCTGAACTGATATTTACTTGAAAATTAAAATATAATTAAATTTCTATGAGAAAGTATTTACATTTGATAAGGTAATTACTGTATGATCTTTATGAACAAATACCAAGTCTACAGAACACCATAGTTATCACAGTTAAGAATCTTGACCAATGAATGAAACATGTGAAAATAAATGTTACATTCTTTACAACATACTCAAGTCCAAGAAAGAGGATTATTTTCATGCCCTTTGATTAAATTCTATTTTTAGATCAAGGGAGTAATTGTGTAAGTCATTTATGAACAAAGTAATAACTTTGTTGTCTCCCTTTGATTTAAATTCTATTTACAAAATCTGGATATTTCATCATCTTTAGTGACCTTGACCTTGTATATATTGACCTAAATTATATGTATCACAGCCATAGTCTTGATAATGACCATTTGTGTTACAATCCCTCAATTAATGATGACTAAATGGTCCATATACACATCTTCATATTTTTTTATCTGAACTTTGACCTCTATGTGTGACCTTGACCTTGGCCGCAAGGACCTGAATCTTGCACGCGACACTCCGCCTCACAATGGTGAACATTTGTGCCAAGTAATATTGAAATCCCTCTATAACATGTGGAAGTTTTGCTCCGGACAAGCATTTTTCAATGAGCTCTAAGTGTGACCTTGACCTTTGACCTAGAGACCTGGTTCATGTGCGCGACACTGCTCCTCATAGTGGTGAACATTTATATGAAGTTTCATTAAATCCCTCCATACATGTAGAGATATGCTCCGGACAAAATTGGACGCCGCCCGCCCGCCCGCCGCCCGCCGCCTCCGCCCGCCGCCGCCGCCAGGGGCGTTCCCATAATACGTCCCGTTTTTCAAACGGGCGTATAAAAATCAGATAATTAATACACAGCAAAATGAACTTTCATAAAACAAAAGTATAAATTTTGGAGAGCACCATTTATACATTATTGAATGATTCCCTTTTATTGTATCTAAATATATAATATATATATTATCTATATATTACAATATCTATAATCGCCACTGTTCCCATATAGTTCCTAGAGTTAAGTTCGGACCATCCATATGAAATTCTGAAAAAATACAGGCATAGATTCACTCAAATATAAGGGTTCTCAAACAGATACAAAAATGTAGCATATAAAATTAAATGTGTGCCTCTCAAAATACTAAAGTGCTTAAAATTACCGAAATCAACAAAAACTTTAGTTCATAATCATTTAACAAAGATTTCAGTTTAAAATAGAATATAACAAGAGCACCTCATGTGGTGTTAATACTCGTCTGTTAAAGACAACAACTATCACTAACCAATTTTGACAAAAATTCTAGGTTAGAAAGGGGCATAACTCCAACTTTCAGAATCATTTCACTTGTCTTTTAACTGCATTTTGTCATGATAAGCAAGTATTCAAAGTTAAATGTTGATAATTTGTAAAATATTTGAATAATGGGCTACAGTAAAGATTTTGCATGAGGCAACAACGACTAAACAGTGATCATAAAAGCTCAACTTTTTCTTCGAAACAGCTAAAAAGCAATGTAAGCACCAGAGACAACCTAACCCTTTAACTTTTACAAGTAAGTTTAACACATCAAAAAAAAATTCAAATAAATATAAACTTGAAAATTTACTATTTGAAATCTGCATACTAAAATTGCAAACAATTTTGTTTAGAATGCATAGATTTTCTTTGATATTTCTGTAAATGCTCATTCAGTGAAACAAATTATGTTATCTAACACCTGATGAATGATGAAATAAATAAAGTCAAATAACATGATACACAGATTAACAATAAATAACACTGCATACATCCAAATGCACTTCAGGTAGATAGACAGATTGTCAGAGCACTAGAAAATCCTCGTCTGTTTCCTAAGATGTCATTTCCAAAAGCATGAAGGGGAACAACTCTGCAGACTTTCACCAAAGCACAGCAGGGAAAGATCAAGTAGAATCTGTAGTCAAGCTGACAAGAAACAATCAGGCAATCTTCAGAGCAGACTTGTGGTTTGGTGGTTGGTATTTCAGGCACATATACAAGGGAGGTAATTCATGCAGTCCTATATATAGCTGGCAGAGCAGAGGTTATCTTACATGAGTACCTGCAATGCCAAAGGAAAATTTCAGTCTGTTTGCCTTTTAAATGCAAGAGGTTTAAGGTGAAGATTACAGGATATATGTGCAAAATATTGCTAAAAGATTTCTTTTGACAATAATTAACATTTCACCAATATTAAATTTTCATATATAGGATTTGGACAAATTCCTATTTTAAAAAGCAAACAGGCATTAATACAACCATTATATAGCTATATTTATCAACAATTTAACTGAATATATTCCCAAGTTTTCCTTGTTTTAATAAACACAAAGGGCAAACAGGCAGCTGAAACTTTCCACGGCCAAACAGAACATAGTTCACAAAATATACAATACACTAAAAAGTATACAAATTATAATTTATACAGTCTTTTAATCAATCTCTCTCATCCTTTCAAAATATAGCCATACATTTTTAATATATTTTTGTTGTTGTTTTTTTATGATTTTTTTTTTACCAGAAAAAATGTGCCATTGACAGGTGCTAGTGCAAATATACTATAATCATTATAATTAACACATTGTACATGCTATGGTTATGGGTACACATGTATATATACACACAGAAAATATATGTCCTTTTTAATAAACAAATAAATGCCTGGGATAGAAATTATATAATTTGGGAAACAGTCAGAAGTTATGAAGATAAGAAAATATCCACCGCAAGATAGCGAAATATTTATTTGATATCAAAGTTTACTTACCACTTTGAAAAAAGAATTCTGAAATTTGTTACAAATTTATACATATATGTAAGTGGAACAAAATAATAAGAACTTACCATGCTTTTTGAAAGGAGCATTTTGGAATGGATCAGTGGAAGAATCAGACCCTGACATCACCAAATCTTCTCTACTCTTAACATTTGATATACCTGTAAAGAAATGTACTAAATGTTAAAAAAAAATACATACAGTCTATGTGCATGGTACGGAGCCCCTAAGGTGACATTCTCGACACTTTTCCCCCGGCTTTTAATTCGTTTTTACGAAATATTAATTCGTTTTTACGAAATATTAATTCGTAATTACGAAATATCAATTCGTATTTACGAAAAATTAATTCGTTTTTACGAAATATTATTAATATTAATAATATTATTAATATTTCGTATTTACGAATTAATATTTCGTAAAAACGAATTATTATTTTGTAATTACGAATTATTATTTCGTAAAAACGAATTAAGTTCCGGGGAAAAAAGTGTGGAAAATGTCACCTTAGGGGCTCCGTAGCATGGTAACATTATATGCTATTTGATATATTTCTATGTTTCTAGAAATAGATTTATCATCATATACATTTGTTGTTGAATTTTAAGTCACAAATACTGTGAAAGTCAAAAGGCAAATTTCCCACTTTCTTGTTTGAGGTAGACCTCAGGTGCCCTACTATGCATTATTTCAGGCAAGTGTGGGCATCATAGTAGAACCACTGTATTTTAGCTGAATAGCTTCCTCACATGAAAGATTCAAAAGTCCTACAGAAGTGAAGGACAAGTGGTTCAAAGGACGTCAACAATTTATCTATAGATTTTCCCCTAAACAGATACTTTAAAATAAAACTTGAGAGCATTATAACGTACATCATATTTCCAAAATAAAATATTTTATGTTGAAAACCTGAATTTTAACTTCATTTTGTAAAACTTCATGTCTGCTTTAACTAGGAAATATCAAAAATTTAACATTTTTATTAGAACACATAATGAAGCAATAAATACAAATAAGCAGTAGTTGCCAAAAAAAAAAAAAAAAAAAAAAAACCCTCAAAAACTATATATTAACAATACCTTAAACTTAACTTAAAGACAATATTTTTTATCTTCAAGGAAAAAGTCAATTACAACAGCTACATTTAAAAGAAATTTACAGCTAGAAGATGACTGCATGATAAGGTAACCTAAAAATATGCATCATTTTTATGTGCAGATACTGAAATACAATACATAAACTGGGCTATTTCATAATTTAATCTTTCTGTATCAATAACAAAGCTTGTTAAATAAGACGCAAATTCCAGCTCAATTTAATGCTCAAACTATACATATTCATCTTTTTGAACGTCTATATATAGAAAAGCTTACTACTGTTTGAACCTCTTCGTAGTTTATCAAACTCTTTCCCAAATATGGAATCCTCCGTCTCATTTCCAAAATTATCTTCTTCAAAGGGATTCCATTCATCCATGGATACTGTCCGAGTCATTCCAATTGGCCTACCAAATATAATTATTTAATAATGTCAAGTAAAAAAATTAAGAATGTCAAGTCAAAATATACAATGTGTAAATTGGAAAAGCATTTTTTACATCTTGTTTAATAAATTTTTCAATTTACAAGAATTAATCATCTTTGATGATAAAGAGTACAGTTTTTTGTACTTTATTTTCAATTTCTTCTTTACTAAACCCTTTTTCTTGCAAAATGAAAAGCTTTGATTTAGAAGATTAAGCTGGATCTACATAAATATTATGAAAATGTTAAACATGTGAGAATAGGGAGTATTAAAATAATTACATCAAATAATTCTTCAGTAAATATCCTCTCATTTTCTCTTTCCTAACTCACAATAGAAAAAGTGAACCAGTAAAAAAATTGTTTTAATGAGATTTTTACCTAGATGGTGAGTTGATAGGACTAGTGGTTGCAGATTTGGATTTATGATCATGAATGGCACTGAGGGTATCTGGACCCCCTCCACCATATGCCCTAAAGGCACTGCCCCTCCCACCCATACGATAGCCAGAAGTATCACTGACGTTTCGACGATGACCTTTCACAGCCGTCTTTGGGGATGATGGTGGTGTTATAGATACAAGAGGTTGAGAATCACCCTGAAATAGAGTGGATATCACAGAAATAATTATTCACAATCTAATCTGATCTAACTTAATAATATCAAATATTTCAAGGTATATGACGCAGAAAAAATATGTCTTGAAAATTTGTCATTAAGTAAAGACACAATAAGCTAAACAAAGGAAACATGAGTACTCACATTTCTGGGAGGTTTAGGTGGTTTTTGAGGCAGAGGTCCTGGAGGTTTTTTATTAACTAATGGTTGTTGGAATGTTTTCTTATTCTGATTTACATCGTGTGTGGTAGAGGTATCACTATCACTGAACACAATCAACTGAGGCTGGCCCTCCCCTTTTCCAACTCCACCCATCTGTCCTGTATCTGTTAAAAAAAACAACAACATTAATGTCAATAACAACTCAGGGTAGCCCTCATTTGCCAAATTTCGCACCCTACATGGGCTATATCTTTCACAATAAAATATAATGCTCATCACTTAATACAGATACCTAAATCTGACAATACCATTGTTAATTTTTTCTGCTAAACTTCCATATTGGAGTTATTTAAAAATGGTACACCTAGGGTTACAGTTTACATGGGCAGCATTACATTATTGGGCTATTTGTATTAAGTTTCTTCAAAATAAGGAGTTGTCATTCAAATTTTATTTCTATTTGTAATATACAGACAGCAATCTTGTTCAGCAGACTGTAATGATTAGTAAACAAAAAAACACGTAAGGATAATTCCTGTTGAATTTTATCAAAATTTGCCAAGCAGTTGTGGACAAGATATCATTTAAAGCTTATATCTATTTTCAGATCTGCCAGCCACCTAGTAATGTAATAAAATGAAGATAACATATTTGAGCTTGTTTATTTAATGAGAACTATATCACATTACTACACATACCAATATTGGCAGTTCCTGTATTTGTTCTAGAATCTCCCGATGATACCTGTAACCTCTCCTGTAGTAACAGATTAAACTGGTCCTCATCTGACGACTCACCTCGTTGCTGATGCTGTATACCCTTTCCTTGTTGTTGTTGTTGCATCATGTACTGCAAGTAAAACATATATCTCTTCCTTTAAGGTGTTTTATACCAATAAAAATATACTGAAATAAGGATGCCGTTTTCTTTTTTAATCTATTTCATTGGTGCTAGTTTCTCTTCAAATTCAGTAAAACAGAAACTGGTGACACTAAACTGATGTGACTGGGAACAATGATTTTCATTCATAAACGTTTACAATATATTTACGTTTAAGGGATATGACCAAATTGTCTTACAAAATATCTTAATTATTGCCTGTAATAATGAATTTTATCAACTCTAATTAATTTATTCCAAAGTAAAAATGTGATGTGCCATAATCGTTTGTTTTTGGTAAAGTTGATTTTCCTTTGATCTTTCAAAAGAGCGAAATGGGGATACAATGCAGAAAATGTGTAACGACTCCCTTGTGATGAGCCCTGTACATTATATTTATTTGCACATGTATTAAATAGAAATTAAGAGTCATTTGGCAAGTCGAATACATGATATAGTATAGTACATAGAAGTACCATCATTTGAACGGTATCGTTTCGGTTTTTAGCAATCGTGTAAACGTTTACAAAAAATGTAAATGTGGGAGCCTTACAACAAGTGAAAACATGTCAAAGTCTCTTTGCAGCCCTTAACAGATATTGTTGTTCGTACAGGCAGCTGGTGTAAAATTCTTAAACTGGGCAACTGCCACAGACATGAAAACAAGAACTGTCAGGTAAACCACAGGAACTTGAAATTCTATCAAATAACCAATATTAATTATAATATCCAAATATACCCCCTATATACTATAAAAAAACACAAGGAATGAAACGCCTTTTCCCCACCCGAACATAATTTACGCCGAACAAATCAACAAAACAACGGATCAAATTATTCTATCTGGCCATTTCGATAAACAATACATAAATGCATCAAATACCACCGATAACTTTTTAAAATCGCGTAGCTGTGTAGGAATTATTCAACATTTTCTGATTATTTCCTGCGATCTGAGTTTGTCGCCGACTCCATTCCGTGATGTCACTGGATTTTGAATCGAGAAGAATAATATTTATTAAAATTATATTTAATAAGTTCCAAAAAATAACAGGTATGTATAAAACTTTTATACAAATTATTCTATGTAAATAGATTTAAACATCTTCATGTAAAACCTTTTTAACAAATTACTTTTATAAATACATTTGAAAGGGAAACCCCAAACAAGAACGGTAAATCTTTGAAATAGTACTTTCGTTTTTAAAAAAAATTGAGTACTCTATTTGATATGGCCCATCAAATAAATTCAGCCCTGTCGTAAGAAATAAATCAGTCATTTGTTCTAGTTTGACAGTATTTTACTTGCAAACTTGTTATTTTTGGAACTTGTTAAAAATAATATTAATAAATATTATTCTCCTCGAATCAACATCCAGTGACGTCACGGAATGGAGTCGGCGACAAACTCAGATCGTGGGAAATAATCAGAAAATGTTGAATTATTCATATATAGCTACAAAATTAAAAAAGTTATCGGTGGTATTTGATGATGCATTTATGTATTGTTTATCGAAATGGCCAGATAGATTATTTTGATCCGTTGTTTTGTTGATTTGTTCGGCGTAAATTATGTTCGGGTGGGGAAAAG